CCTTTCGACATCACCTTTCTCTCGGCAGTTCCCAATATTATCTTGGTCTCACCGTACTGGGCTCTGGCAGACCCCCGCATCGCCGTTTTACGCACCGCGCAGCTACGTGATTAACAAAAGGATGCTTGCCTCCCTAACGGACTCATAATCTAAATACATTTAGCCGGGTGTTTAGTGTCAGGGTTTATTTGAAATAGATGGGCTCGCCTCAAGCCTCAGTAATGGGATGCTTAGGTCCGCGCGTGCGGCTCTCCCCATCCACACCGAGACCCGCTGGAACCAGTATGTCATTGCCGGGGAGGAGCAGCCCCAAACTGCAGGGATGCCCAGACGTTTTTATAAAGAAATTATTCCTTTCATAGAGGCTGCTTTTATTTCGGCACAGGGTTCTCACTTTTCTGGTGTTTCCATGGGAAAGAGGACATGCCAGCTAACTGGCTTTTATTGTACCTTTCATCACCTCATGGAAACGGACTTCTATTTTTTGCTTCCCTTTGGCTTTATAAATATAATTACTATTGTTTGTATTGCAGCAGTATTCACTGCCCAGGCAGGATCAGGGATGCATTTGCTGTACTCCATGCAAACAGTTAAAAAGCCTGATTCAGACACCAGGATTGTGAGATTCATAATTGTAGTTTTCAGGTTACATCTAAATATTAGGGTCTAAGAAAAGACTGAATGTCATGATCAATATAGCATAAATAAGCACACCGAGACAAGATCTCATTCATCCCTCCAAGGCACTTTGTGCCACTCAGTAGCAGAAATGGAAGATAAATTAGGATATCAGTGGCTCTGATCCAATTTTCACAGGTTGGGATTTTTTTCATGTAGAGTTGCATGGAAGCTTATAGAAATTTTCATCAGAATCATCCCAAATTTGGTTCTCCGTAACTCCTCTGTATTAACAAACTGCAACTGCATACTATGCATGTCGCATGTTAAAAATCATTAAGCTTTCCTCTGATTACCAGGGTACCACAGTGAACTGCCTGACGACTGCATCACTGCTGCTTCGTTGTACCACGCCTTTTCCCGAGACATTCATAATCTGAACCTATATAGACATTTCCATTAGTTTCTTCTGAAAGTTTTAGAGGCGACATCGAGTTGGGACACTGGGTTGTGACAGAAATGCTGTCGAACTGCTCGCGGTCAGTGAGACGGGGCTGCAGCTTATGGCAGACGCCTGTCGGTTTAAGCAGCTTCCCATTTTTATGGGCTGTTCTACCAGAGTTAATATAAAGCACACTCCGTGTCTTTGATGCGCATAATACATTCGCACTGAACACATCACATATACAGCACTCGCAGCATTAGCAAACCTTAGGGAATCCAAAGTTGTTCAAACAGCCTTTCAGAAAGCAGCAATTTAAACACAATGGAATCCAAGGCACAAACTCCTCCTCAAGATACTTCCAATTTGGTCTGATGATTGTGAATTCTTCAGCTCATACTATTCTTGGTTTGTATTGAGTCATAGGTGTTTAGCCCATATAACTACTGGGTGAAGACAAAGTGGATTAACTGCAGATTTGCTGGTGAATTGCGCCAGGTTATCACTCCCCATTTAACACAAGATAGAAGGATCGACAAGAAAGTATGACCAGGAATAATTAACTATGCAATCCCATCCTGCATGTTCTGGCACTAACAGAACTCAAATCATAATGAGTATTAATAAATCCATGTAAGTCAGGTGAGCGTTTCCATCGAAAGCCAGGACAGCTTGGAGTCAAAACCTGCAGATCTTCTTTAGAGAGAATGTCCAATGATATTAAAAAAAATACAGGATACATCTACTACTCTTATGCTAGAAATTGTTTAATAAACAAACACTATGTACTTTTAACCCCCAGTAAACATACCTGTGACTGACGAGCCACGCATGTTCTCTCTCCACGTGGTGAACAAGTCTAACGAAGAGGGACGTTAATGCCCAGCGTGCGACCTCGCGGCACGATGAGCTGAAGCACGGCGAAAAGCTAACTCTAAATCAGATGCCTCTGGATTAGTGGTGGTAGAGCACAGCTTTGCTGATTAATACACTAGCACTATTTTGAAGTCTTGCTTGCAGATGTTTACTGCCATATAAACAACTGTAAAGTCATTTGAGCACATTCTGGGGGTTTAGGTTATTAAGTTGGATTACTGCTATTTCATCAGCACTACTCACTGATGATAGTTGCTAAACCGTAACCTTTGAAAGCATACACCAAATGCTACTTTCTGTTCTTAAAATACATTTATAATAAAAGTCAAAACACGTTCTGCTTCTAGACATAATAAAAAACCCTGCATTTTCTTTTCTGGGAATTGTTGGAGGTGCATCATTTTTACCTAAGAGATCTCTCCTTGCAAGTCTGTTTTCCAGTTTCTTCATCTCTCCGTGATAAAGCCATAATCATTCTATAATCAAAGCCTTCAGATATTTCCATGACAACAAACAATGATATAAACAAGAATTAAAACTTTAGTGAATGAGAAGAAAATGGAAAGCATGGAACATTGGAGAGAGATTTCAAAACTCCATAAATAGAAACTCTCGTCTACCTTACCTCCAGTGCTCAACACAGCTTTAAAGCTACTGAAAAGAAGCACCAGTATTTTAAGAGTTCCATGAGAGGTAAACGTCCATTATAATGTGTTTTTCTAAAAATATTTTTTTTAATATCTGTTTTGTTCATACGTCCAGTTAGCGGATAAAACTGTGAATAAAAAGTACTTAACTTCTGCCTCTTTCTCTCCGTTTCTCTCATCCTAATAACATCGGTGACTTTAATCTTTTCTGCAGTTGTTAAGGCAACAAAAAAGTACTGTTCTTGCAGTTAAGGGCTAGTAGATAACTTCTGCAGCCTAAAGCCACCTTCTCTCACAACTCTTACATCTTCTTTCACCACTGTCCTTCAGAATGTGCAAAGCAGAGGCAGGAATTCGCTATCGTGCAAAGTTTGTGGGATGTCAGTTCTTTATATCCCATTGAAATTTGGCCTGCGATTGCCAAAGAAATCAGAAAGAATCAGAAAACTGGAGCTGCTTTTCTTCTCTCTCAGCTGACATCTTTTCTGGCCCTGACCCCATGAAGGAAAAGCAGCCAGAGAAGCCCTTGACTCATGATACCCTTTAAACGAAGGGGATCGATGTTGCTGGATTCAAAGCACAACTGCCATTTCTGATCCAAGGGGCTCATCACTCGACGCATCAAACTCCCAATGAATTAAGTGTTAATTTGTTGCTTTACAAGCTCAAGTTGTCCGGAGTATATAAATCTGGTGCTACCTCACTTTTGGCTACTTGATTTTGCTGCACACACCTCAGTTCAAGTATTATTTCAATAAGTTTGGGGGTTTTTTTCTTTTCTGGAAAAAAGAAAAGAAAGCTTTTCTCTCCCTGAGGAGAGGGAAAGGACCATTTTTTTTTTACAAGATACAGCTCAGCAAAACCTGGAAGAATTTCATGAGAATGAGGGATCCTCTCTACACAGAAAAGTCACATTTATAGCTTCAGGCCATTTCCTCAGCCAAATATCAACATCCTTCAGCTAATGCCGCTGTTCTGAGAGTTTATCAGGGGGAAAAAAAAAAGAGTGAAATAACTCTTTATAATAATACAAAGTATTTGGCAGCCTAAATACAGAGGCAGTTACCAGCTCCTCCATAATATAATGCAACTTCATGTGAATTAGATGGGACACGAAATTCTAACATGAAATAACTGTACATTGGTGGCATGCAGCCTGTGATTTTTCTTCAGAAACATGAAAAACAATTATATAGGCAGCTGGATAAACAAAGTGAGAAGCACGTTAGGCTCTTCCTTCTTTTCAGCTGCAATTAATGTATAGCCATCCCCCATAAAATTTAGCAACTGCTGAGTAACTTGCTACAAAACTGTCTCACGGTTCAAGAGCAGCAATGATGAATACTGCTTCCAATGAAACTGCAAAAATGTATCATCCAAACAGGATAGGGACTCGGCACTAAGGCTGATGCTTGCATTATTAAAGTAAATTACAGAAAACAGGCAGATTCAGAGACACGGGCAGAGTAACACAGAGGTGCGTCACACCACGCTTGTGCTCCATCCTCAAATAAAGCTCTGCAGCCACCAAATAGCAAAGCTCCCGACGGCATATGCATGTACGTGAGTGCGCCCTGGAAAACCAGGCCAAACTGTTTCTCGGCTGAATCGAGCTAGATGCCGACGTGGATTCAGAGCACCGGTTGGCACCTGAGAGATGGGGTACAAGGGAAGGGGTGCAGCCCCTCTGGATAGAAAAACAGGAATGAGAAAAGATTGTGCTGTAGCACGCTCCGACGCTTTGCAGGGACTTTTGACTTGCTTTGTGGGAGAGGAGGAGATAGGTACCTTTTACAGGTGCGCTGGGGGTCACTTCACCTTCCCCGATCCCACCTTGCACTGCTTCCATCTTATTTCTTCGGGGGTACCCCGTTATCCTTCGGCAGCAGGTAGGAGTCCGCAGCTGGGGAAACCCACCGTGGGAACGTACGGGTGTGCAAAGGGCAGAGCGGCGGACGGCAGAAACGTGCTGAACTGAAATTTAATTGTAGGGAAATCGCACGGCAGGTGGTGATGACTGCGGCTTCGCTCAACCGGAGCCTGCCAACATCCAAGGGCAGAGGAGAGAGGAATCGCAGCCCACCCCGGAGCTCCGCATCCCCAGGACTGTCCCCCCCCGGGGGGGGGACCGCGCACCCCCAGCCACCCCCGCTTCCACAGGCAGAGGGGAAAGCACCCTCCGACACCCCGCAAAAGGGAGGGGAAAGCACCCTCCGACACCCCGCAAAAGGGAGTTAAAAGCACAACCACCCCTGCCACCCACAACTGGGGACCGCAC